TGTGATCTGCTTTTAAAGTCTTGGTTTCTTTCTCCCACTGTCATCTTTCCTGCCCCCTGTCGGCTCTGTAGTCTGACCTTTTGTCTTCTGGGAGCTCTGCTGCCAAGGAAGCTAAACTGTTCGAACTTCCTTCCAAGCTTAGGAAGGTAGAATCTGTACCTTGATCCTTGTTTGTGCTTGCTGCTTTCTGCTTTCTGTGCTGCCTAACCACAAGCAGACCGAGGGTGGGGGGACACACGAAACCACTGAGGTTTGCCACGGGGGTGGGGTGAAAGGCACCCATCTCTCTCTCAGCGTTAGTTTCCAACACCAGCCACGGGTCAGAGCACCAGCATGAGAGGGTAATTGCTTCACGGTTTAGCCCATGAGGCCACCTAGGACGTGTCACTGGACGTTCAGTAGATGCCGTCCATTCAGTGCTGTTGAGAAGCAGCTCGCGCCGAGCATGTTACGCTGGCTGCTACTGCAGTAGGATGCAGCGTGTTGTCCATACAGTCTCGTCGGTTCACACTCACTCTGGCTTTTGCCGACAGGCTGAAGAGAGACACGGCAACATAGAAGAACGGTTGCGGCAAATGGAGGTGCAGCTGGAGGAGAAGAACCAAGAACTGCAGCGGGTATGTGTTCTGCCAGCGTGGGTGAGAGAGTGCCCAGCTCAGTCTGATGGGGTGGTGGGGTCTCCTGTGTCCACTTCTCCCCCTCTTCTGCCCCCAACGCCTGATCCAGATGTTGCCCTCCATCTCGAGTCCTGGGGTGCATTTATTCCGTGGCTTCATCTGTCAGCGCTCCGCTGCTGCATGCATCCGTGGCATGCATCCGCACACTGTGTCAGGTGGGTCAGTGTCAGCAGCAGCAGCAGAATACGTGGCCCACAGGCGGTCCTGCAGGGGGGCCTGGGACCCCCAAGTCCAAGGAAGCTTCTTGCTAATCTAACTAGCCTAATCTAACCAGCCTGATCTAACCAGCGTGTCGGGAATTGCCTCAGGTACAGGTGGGGACTTTAGGGTCACCCTGATAGTCGTGGTTGCTGAAACTTGGAGTAAAGCCCATGATCCCAGTTGAGTGATTCACTTGCGTAGGACGTGGCTCTGAAGTCCCAAATCTAGGTCATGGGCCTGATCTCTCTCCCAAAATAACAAACTGTTACCCTGAATATAAAGATACACGTATGGACTGATGTTCCTGAGCACGAGGAGAAGCGTGACTGAGCTGTGACAGAGCACTAAGAGGGCCCGACTGGCGACTTTCGTCCTTCGGATCCTGAGAGAGTTTTCCCTGAAAGAATTGGGCAGTGTCAGTCCGGAACGTCCAGGAAACAGAGACATAGCTAAAAGCAGTCCCAGGTCCAGCTGGCACCTAGCCTGGTGCTCTGGGTGGTTTCTTTTTACCACGTGGGTGGAGAGAGGACGCATGCAGCGCCTGATGGTAGAGCCCTTGCAGCCCCCATTAGCCAGCCTCCCAGCATGAATACAAGACCAACAGAAATCTGTACTCTTGGCCACGAGCTGCAGAGAATCAAATCTGAGCTCCAGGAAATGAAGAATCTGACTTCCGTTAGAGAGATTTCACACGAGGGAATCCTCCCTCCTAACACCCCTTAACCAAAGAATTACATTTTTATTTGTTATGGGGATATACTTCATACTTTCAGAGCAGCTTATGGAGTTTTGAAGAACAGGTGTTGCAATAGGGATAATGTTTGTAAGTAAGGCAGTTAAAAGTGAGTGGTGTTTAGATGTTAATGGAAAACAATCACAATGTTCTAAAGAAGGAGTATCTTGTATTCTGTGATTGGGGCTCTCAGCTTACCTTAGGCATTATTATGAGTGCTTTATATTTAATCCTCACAATGCTCTTACACGAGAAACATGGGTACTCCCATTTGACAGATGAGGAAACCAAGCGCAGAGGGGTTGAGTCAAAGGCCCAGGTCACTGCGTGCACTGCCCTCTGCCTTGGGGAGCGAGGCCAGGGAGAGTCCTGAACAGACTCTCCTGGAGGCGTGCTGCCTACTAGCACTTCCTGTTCCTTGCCAGATGCCACTCGCATTGATTCAGGATGTAGGGTCAAAAAAAAAATAAAAAGTTTTCAAATCATGACATTGGTTATGGTTCTATGGAAGTTGTCAGAATTGAAATGGAATGCTTAAGATCAATATCCTAGGCATTAGTGAGCTGAAATGGACTGGTATTGGCCTTTTTGAATCAGACAATCATATGGTCTACTACGCCAGGAATGACAAATTGAAGAGGAGCGGCATCACGTTCCTTGTCAAAAAGAACATTTCAAGAGCTATCCTGAAGCACAACACTGTCAGTGGTAGAATATCCATATGCCTACAAGGAAGAACAGTTAATACAACTGTTATTCAAATTTACAGACTAACCGCTAATGCCAAAGATGAGGAAATTGAAGACTTTTACCAACTTTTGCAGTCTGAAGTTGATCAAACACAGAGTCAAGGTGCATTGATAAGTACTGGTGATTGGAATGTGAAACAAAGTTGTAAACGAAGAAGGATCCCTAGTTGGAAAATAGGGCCTTGGCGATAGAAATGATGCTGGAGATGACATGGTAGAAGCTTGCAAGACCAACAACTTATTCATTGCAAATACCATTTTTCAAAAACATAAACAGTGATTATACATGTTGTCTTAGGCTGGGTTCTGTAGAGAAACAAAACCAGTAAAGCATGTAAATATATATATAGAGAGACTTACATCAAGAAAACGGCTCACGCGATTGTAGAGGCTGGAACGTCCCAAGTCCATGGATCAGGATAGAGGCTTCTCTTGATTCACGTAGCTGCAGGGGCTGGCGAACCCAAGGTCGGCAGGTCAGAGAGCAGGACTCCCACTTACAGGCTGTGAAGATTGGAGAATCCCAAGATCAGCAGATAAACTGATAGCTCAAGTCCCAAGAACCAGAAGTCTGATGAGCAGGTGGCAGCCACAAGATCCAGAGAGAGCAAAAAAGCCAGAATGTCTGCTTATATTTGGATGCAGGC